GAAGTAAAGAATGCAGTGGAGGTGGGCGCAGTGGCTCACACTTGTAATCCCAGCACTTTGGGAGGCTGAGGTTGGTGGATCACTTGAGCATAGGAGTGTGAGAACAGCCTGGACAACATGGCAAAACCCTGTCTCTACAAAAAATACAGAAATTAGCCAGGCATGGTGGCATGCACCTATAGTCTCAAGCTACTGGGGAGGCTGAGAGGTGGGAGGATTGCTTGAGCCTAGAGGTTGCAGCTGCAGTAAGTCATGTGCCACTGCACTCCAGCCTGGCGACAGAGAGAGAGCCTGTATGAAACAACAACAAATGGAATTGCCATTTGCTGAGATGCCAAAGATTATGGGAACGGGGTGAATCAGGAGTTCAGCATTAAGCTTGAGTTGTTTATTAGACATCAAATGGAGATCCATGTAGGCAGTTGAGAAAGGTCCTAAATAGATCTATTAATTTGGAATTTATCAGTATATAGATAGAAGTTAAAGCCAGGCTGTGAATGAGACCAAAGAAATGAGGTAGAACAGAGAAGAGGGCAAAGAACAGATCCCTGAGGCACTGCAGTGTTTAGGGGTTGGAAAAATGAGAAGAAACCAGCAACTGGGAGACTGCTGAAGCAGCCAGAAAGGAAAGAGGAAAAGTGGGAGGAGGGTGTGCTGTGGAGCAGGTGTTTCAGAGAAGAGGGAATCACCAGCTGTGCCAAAACTATGGGGACATCTGGTATCAGTCTTTGGATTGAGCAATATAAAATCATTGCTGACCCTGATGAGAGCAGTTAGAATGGACTTAAGATAACTTGAGGACAGATATATTGACACTTGAGTTTTCCTTTAAAAGGAAGAAAAGGGAAGTAGTTGAAGTGAAATCCAGGAAGAGTTTTCTTTAAGAACGGAGAATGTTTGTCTGCTGATGGGAATATCCAGTAGAGAGGAAAGAAAATATTAATAATGCAGGAGAAGCAAGGAGAACTTGTGGAGCAGTGCTTTTATGAAATACTTCAGTGCACAGGAGAGAACATCAAGCATTTAGGCATAGGTGGAGGTAGGTGGCAAATGTGTAGAAGCTTGTGGATATTTTCTTTGAATGCTATACTTTCTCAATGAAATAGAAAGCAAGAACCTCAGTTGAGAAGTTGGAGGAGGTGACATGAGAGGTTTGATGGAAAGGGAGGCTGAGAAACTGTGGAATGAGGAAATATAATGAGGAGCATGTTAAAATATGCTTGGCAGCAAAATGAAGATACAGTGTCAGAGAGAAACTCATAGCAAGAAAGCCTGTAAGAAAGCCATTGCAGTAGTCTAAATAAGATTAAAGCTTCTGAATCAGGCCAGATGCAGCATTGTTGGTGTCATTAATATATAGGTAGAAATTGAACCCACATATGTGGATAAAATTGTCTAAAGAAAGCAGAGTGACATTAACAGTTGATGGCACAGGAAGAGAAGCCCAAACTTGTAAGGACCCTGCAGGGAAATATGAGAGGAAACTGTTGTATTTGACCAGAGCGTAGAAAGTTACCACAAGACAAAAGTATGCCAGATTGCAGGGTCATTTATTATGCCGGCGACCACAGAGGACTCAC